GAGCTCTACCGAGTGAACAACGAGAAAGTTGAAAGTTTTTCTAGAAAGGAAGTGAACAGTGGGGGTGGAGATAATAGGACATGTCAATAAGGGACCAGGGACCACACACTTTGATGACCCATTCCTTTTATCTTCTCTGCTCATTTCCTATTCAAGGAATTTGACCCTTTCCCCCCTTTTCTAGTGGGATTGCATTTCCTGTATGAAATGCAAACAAAAAGGGAAAGGAATTTTACTGCTTTCTCTAAAAGTTAAGGGGATGCGAAAATCAGTTCAAGGTTATTTCCCCCATAAAATGCGTTAACTAGTTAATAATTTTCTCAAATATTTTGGGAAATGGGGAAAGTAGATCCCAAAAAAAAATTCGTTAAATAGAAAATTCACTTCGCTATTTAGAAGTTATTTAACGAAGAAATTTCCCAAAAGTTCTTGGTTCCACGAAAAAATTCTCAAAATAGAGAAATTCGTAAAATGGAAGTTCGTTAAATAGAAGTCCGACTGTATTTTTTAATTCAGATCAACATCAAAGATTTTATTTTCAAAAAAATACTTAGTTTTTTTTTTTTTAGAAAGGAAAACTAATTAAACCACTTAATAATTTTTTTCTATTGCAGAATCGTTGAAATATTTAATTTGCTGATTTTTTTTCAAACTTGAAAAATTCTTAAAATAAAATGTAGTGCTTGGAAGAAAAAAAAGGAGCACCTAACATAAATATATTTCATTATTATAACGCACTACTAAAGGGCTCCTCCCTCTACGTTTCATTCACCTTGTCATTGTATTGAGATTTTTTTTTTTTGCCTTAAATAATGATTATTTATTTAATATCAAAGAATTGATGTCTCTGTCCGTGCTTGACTTAATGTCAAAAGTAACAAAATAAATGAATAAAAAATTTTTAAAAAAATAAGAGAATGAGAGATTACACTATAACAGATCTTAACATAAAAGACGAAGAGAGAGAGGAACAGTTTTCAATATAAACTTTTACTTAATAAAAGGTTAACGTTAAATACTGAAAACAAGCAAAATTACTTCTCATTTATTACTTCTTAAACTGCCACTTCTTATTAGAAACCATGTGTGATTTTACATTCCACTGAGCAGATCTTGATCTAGAAATGAGAGGGCTCTTGTCGTTACTTTAAACAAAACTTACCTTTTGCTTAATTATGGAGTGTTCTTAAATTATTTATGACATAAGTAAATTACGATATATTAGTAAATTTGATCTTATATTTATCTTTGTTGACAATCCTTAAGGAAAAACACAAAATGAAATTATTTGTAAAATTTAGGGGCCCCCAGAAATGAGGGGGCCCTAGGCCTGGGCCTCTCAAGCCTTGTGATAAATCAGGCCATTGAGAATGCACGAAACAGTAAAATGTCAATTAATTTTTTTATAATAAAAAAATATAGAAATTTATTAACATATTGATACATTAATAAATTTCAATATTTCTTTATTCGTTTCTATTTTATTTCAAAAAAATATTTATACATTAAAATAAAAGCAAGTGCTTAATAATAATGGATAATTTATTAAAAAATACAAACGTATTTCAATAAATTGAATTTGATGAAATTTCTGATTGAATGGCACCAAAAGGAAAGACTGAGGAAAACCAACGGTTTAACAACAGTCCATAATGTAAAGTACTATAAATTTGCGTTGCTTATTATTAATTGCTTGAAATGTATGAAATAGATACACATTTCAAAGAGCATATTATGAGTACAAACTTTGAAAACGAAAATAAAATTGAGGAGAAGAGATAGATCTGGTGTTAAACCTAGCAAAAAAAATCTCAAACTTTAGCCGCTGCTTTTCCCAATCTTTCTGCCAGTTTAAGAATTCTGTATAAATAGAACAACATCAGTTCCTTGTTAAGCCTATGCAAGAATAGGACAATTGTTGTGTCGTACTTTTCAGAAAAACCATATTCGAAACAAGGATATAAATTACAGGANACGGAGTGTTCTTAAATTATTTGACATAAGTAAATTACGATATATTAGTAAATTTGATCTTATATTTATCTTTGTTGACAATCCTTAAGGAAAAACACAAAATGAAATTATTTGTAAAATTTAGGGGCCCCCAGAAATGAGGGGGCCCTAGGCCTGGGCCTCTCAAGCCTTGTGATAAATCAGGCCATTGAGAATGCACGAAACAGTAAAATGTCAATTAATTTTTTTATAATAAAAAAATATAGAAATTTATTAACATATTGATACATTAATAAATTTCAATATTTCTTTATTCGTTTCTATTTTATTTTTAAAAAATATTTATGCATTAAAATAAAACAAATTTCTTAATAATAATGGACAGCTTATTAAAAAATACAAACGTATTTCAATAAATTGAATTTGATTAAATTTCGGATTTAATAGCACCGAAAAAACCAACGGTTTAACAACAGTCCATAATGTAAAGTACTGTAAATTTGCGTTGCGTATTATTAATTGCTTGAAATGCATGAAATAGATACACATTCAAAGAACATATTATGAGTACAAACTTTGAAAAAGAAAAAAAAATTGAGGAGAAGAGGTAGCTCTAGAGCTGAACTTAGCAAAAAAAAATCTCAAACTTTAGCCGCTACTTTTCCCAATCTTTCTGCCAGTTTAAGAATTCTGTATAAACAGTTCCTTGTAAAGCCTATGCAAGAATAGGACAATTGTTGTGTCGTACTTTTCAGAAAAACCATATTCGAAACAAGGATATAGATTACAGGAGTCAGTTGAATACTTCGAATGAGATAGTATATGCCATTTTAATAGTTTCATTAGACTGGCAAAACATTATCACGCATATATTTAATACGTATTCTGCTGGAAACGTCTCCCGATATTTTAGTAACCTGGTGTAATATCGTGGTTGATGCTCATAAAAAAACAAGAATTAGTCTGTAAAGTGTTTTATAATGTCCAAAGAAATGAACCACTCAACAAATTAAGGATGTGTACAAATTGAGAGCCTACTACATCTACCAACAAAATTTGAATTCAAATCAAATCACGGGGGATTTCTTCAGTTTTTGATGAGTCAGTAGAGTATCATATGGAAGTTCGTTCATGTTTTTTGACGCAAGAGCCAAAAAGGATGTACTGTACCTAACTCTAGATCAATATTAAAAGTCTGATTTATATTAAAGGTAAGAACCAAAGATTATCTTTAAGGTTTAAGATAGTCAATAGGGTTTAAATGCGGATTGCTACCAACTAAACTAATAATTCAGGATCTTCAGAAATAAAATAACGACTAATTATCTGCAACTAGAACAAATAGTATGATTCTTAGATTGACCAAATATAAATGCTCTCTTGTTTTTTTAACTGCGTCTAATGAATTACCCACTGTACTTGTCTAAAATTATTTGTAGGATACATTTGTCAGGGATCTTATCAGACGCACATAACACCGTTTCCCCCTGAAACTAAGATCGGGCACAAAATTTTGCAATCATTTGAAAATCACCGAAATATTAAAACATTAGAAAAAGTTTACATTTTTTGATGCAAGAACTAGTTGCGACACTTAAGTTTTTATAATAAGCTAAAAGGCTCAAACTGGCAAATGTTAAAAAGTACAGGTCAAAAATTAAATGCATGCACTATGTCCTTGAAGAACGTGTATTTATTCACTTTAGAAATACTTGTATGGTGCAAAACGTAAACAAAATTATTAAAAGAAAACAATTTTTAATAAACTTTTAAAGCATTAATATTAGAGCTATAGATAAATCTTTTATTATAAGAAAACAAATAACATTTTAATCAAAAATATTGCAGAGAACCTGAAATTCTAAAAAAAGTGAAGAGTTTTCTTGTAATACTTATACACTTTCTACTGCAAAAAGAGTACTACTAAACTTACTGAAAAAAGAGTATTTAAAAAAAAGATTTTATGATATCATTTTTAAAAAATTTAAAATATTTTGGGGCTACAAATCAAATTAACATAAGTTCTATAATAATAGTTTAAAACCAAGTAAATGGCAATATGAATGCAAGTATTTTTTTTCACATAAGAATTACTGAAGATAGAAAAGGCAATAATAACAGATCGCCATGCGTTTTAATGAATTAATCGTTTTCCTCAACAACGATAATTTTTTGCACTTGGCAAAGAATAGGCTTCTACCAAAATGTTATAGTTTCTATAGAAACGCCTTTTATCTCAATTTCGTTAAAGCATCGAGTTCATGTCGCTTAATATTTCTAAATAAACACTTCACAAAGTAAAGTATTGCCATTTAAGGCTCGAATAAAATACAGTTTACTTTATCTTTGAAAAGTATTTTTTAAAGTATTCTACGTTCATAAAAAAATGTCAATATAAATCCACATTTTTTTTTTGTTCCATAAAAATCACTGAACTGCATTTTCTTCATGAAATGATGTATCTTTTTATTGTAAACGTGATATACAAAGAATGTACTGAACTTGAATTTTAGAGCACTTTGCTCTTATTTTTTATGAGATTAAGCTTGAAGCTGTTGTCAGAAAAAGTTACTTTACCTTTAAAAGTGAAAAAAAAAAATTTTTTTTTCGTTTAGAAATTGACTGAATTTTTAAAAAAAGAAAAATCTAAATGTAGGCGATTTTACAGTATAGCACATTAATAAATTATGTGACCTTATAAGATCGCTTTTGTTTATTAAAGTTAAGGAAAGCTTATGAAGTAATAATATTGGCTAAACTTGAAAAACAAAATGTTTAAAGTAAAATCAAATTAAGTTAATTTAGAATGTCTAAATTTTGAGATGCTCTATGGAAATAATGTTGTAAATAAATTCCAAAAAAAAGAACTAATATTTTTAATATAATCAAGTAAAAAATATAATGTAAAAACTGTGGTGTAATAAGATGTTGAACAACATAAAATATTGTGCAAAAGAACATTTTATTTCGGGTTGACATCAAATCGAGCGCTCATATACGTTTTAAAGGGTGTAATTTAAATCTAAATACTTAAAACTGAATAATCTTATACCAAAATCTAATGCTTTCATATTATACGAGAATTATTTTCACTTCCGGAAATACCAATGTTGGCGTGCTTTGAATATAAAAAAAATTCAAGAAACGCCAAGTATAATATCGCGAGTTTACAATCTGAAATGAGCTTTGCTATTTTTAGGGCTGATATTCATCAACAGAAACAAAAATTCACCGTTAAATATGTATGATTGTTTTTAGTTGTGTAATAAGAATAATTATATTTTAATTTTTAAATCTCGGAAAACTGATTTTATGACGTATAATTTCTATTCGCTTATTTTCTGTTAAGCCTAGTTCGAATTCGTCTTAGTATTCTTAGTATCTCTGAGCTACCCGTATGTTTGATTTACTAATTAATTTTATTTTAAGAATTAGTGAATATATGCATCCTAAATTAATGATTCTTACTTATATTGTATCCTAAAAATAACTTTACTGAATCTTAAATGTATCTTACTATAATCATAAATATTTCTGTAGTGTTAAGATACACTTTGGTGTAAATTCGTTCAGTAAAAGATGTTTGTAAGTGTGACCAACACACGTGATTGAAAATTACTTAAGTTTATGATATATATTTAGGCTTTTATAAAGCTCTACATGAGGCTGAATACTGTTTAGTTTAATATTTCCTTCTTTTTCCCAATTATTTATCAGTTTGAATACAGTTTTCGATCAATAGCTTTTTAACATCTGCGTAGGTAAGAGGTTGTTTGATGCATTATTAGTTAACTTTTCTGTATCAGCTGTATAACATAAGTTAATTTAGTTCAACTTACCATTGATTGCCGACTCAATTCGATAGGATATGACTAAATACCTTAATTAATAAAAACAATTTCGCAACTAAAAAAACATCTGTTTACGCTTGAAACGATTTCTCTGGCATTGTAAGAATTCATAATTTTTCGTGACAAGGTTAAATTCAATATCATACAGAGTTTAGAGGATTTTCAATATTTACTATTTTATGGAGTTCCAGTATTTTTGTAACACTTAAATCATTATTTGTTCATAAATAAATATATTAAAATTTGTTTTATAGAAAATAATAATTCAAAAAAGACTTAATTCTGTTAGAAATTTTGATCTAAGTCAAACCAAAATATCATTCAAATTTACTGCATTAATGCTGTACTAATTTAAATCCTATTATGGTATAAATTAATTCTTCTTGTACTTGATTACATGATAACTATTTTCAAACTAAGCGGAAATATAGCTCAAATAATTAAAGTTGCAACAAATTTGCACAATAAGTTCAATTTGCTACGACCTATCGTGCTATGGTTCAAAGTACCGGTATTGTGGTTAAAGTTTAGCCAATTTTTCTTTCCTCACTAAAGTAGTGTAAAAATATTATTCAAAAATTTAAAATAGTAATAATAATTGAACAAAAACTAAAATGTCTTAAATACAACTACTGCAAAGCGTCATGAGACTTTACTTCTTAAGAAAAATTGTTGTAATAGTTAATATTGCCTTCAACAAAAACAACCCTAAATTTGACTATCTTATATGATTCTCAAACAATATCACACTCTCACAGCACATGATTAAAATTTATATCTGTCAGAAAGGCGTGTCGAAGACAATGCTTGTTGATAAAATCTGTACTTCTTAAAAGCAGAAATTGCCTTTATGTGATATCCCTGAATAATGAATAAATAATTAATACCCATATAGGAATTACCGAGCATCGTACAAAATGTGAAAGTCGAGAAAAGTTTGTTAATACTTTCCCTAATTAAATCATTGTTTTCAGAACCACGCATCTTTTAAATTGTTACGTTAAAGACTAAAAATAACGTTATCTTTTTGTCATACTGGTATGAGTCTGAACAATTCACAATGAATTCAAATTACATATGAACAGCAAGCATTGCTCTTGACAGGATTCAAGATAAAATGTTTTGAAATGCAAAAAAAACCTGAAGGAAAAAGACGTTTATGACAAAAAAACATGTTAATTTAAATTAAAGAAATTAAATCAGTTTTTCTTTTTCTAGAATTTATCCGCTGAAATCAGATTATTTGATTTGACAGCAGCATTTAAAAAAAAATTAATAAAACTGATTTAAAAATGCCCCTTTTAAAAAATATGTGTTTTATTTATCGAATAAGTTTCGTTATCAAATTTTGAGAAATGCAAAGGGGAGGGTAGCGCTATCAAGACAAAGAGGCAAAATTTTAAAACAAGGGTGCTTCTGCAATTCTAAAGCTTTTACCTAAGGGCCGTGGGTTGCCCCCCCCCCCTTTTTTTTTTTTGCAAGTAGAGAAAGGTATGAAAAGCATTTGTGCGTCTTTCCTCAAACAGATACAGCAAACAAATTTTTTTTTGAAATTATAATTTTTAAAAAAATGAAAACATTTTAATAGCCAAAAACATTAAAAAATATTTCTCAATTCTACAAATTTGTCACACTCATAAATACAATTGTTTTCTTACATTCACTCCTTTTTCTTCAGGATAAGCTTCTTTCTTTATTAATGTGTGATGATTTTTTTCCATATTTAAAGGCGGTTGCAAATTTCACACAGATAAGAATGAAAATATCAGTGTAGATAATAACGTGCAATAACCTTTTACTTTAAAAAAAAAAATTAAATAAAAAACATTGCCACTATTATGCATTATCGACCTTTCCCCACTTTAAAAAAAATGGAGCTCACTCAGAATTGGAGCTTCACTCTCAATAAAGAGGAAACTTTGGTTTTGAAGGGATTGTGCTGCATGCCTGGTGTTCTTTAATCTTAAGCTACAGAGCTTTTACAGCGCTTTACGCACAGCTACAACGCAAAGGAGAAACAAGTGCTTTTTTCTCCTTAGAATATTTCAAAAATTCTAGCTTATTTAACGCAATTTTTATAGTAAACCTCAACTTTTTTTTTAATGTTCATTTATGCCATATTGCCCGCTTCAAGGATTTTTAAACACAACTAATACATTTAGCTTTTATATCAAATGTTTCTTATATTGCGCTTCTGTTACTCAACTTATTAAAAGAAAATGCAAGAATGAGAGTAGTAAAACCAGCATAAAAGCGTGGCTTAAAAAAATGCATAAATGAGTACCATTTAAAAAAAATATTGAATATGTATTCTTTGCATCAAAATTTTTTTCTGATTCTTTGCTATTACAAATTTTTCAATAGAGGAAACGATTGTTCCCTCAACTCGGAGACAATTTTTCAAATCCTGACACAAAAGTTGTCTCTACTTACTGAACCTCAAACTTGATTCTATTTCCCTCATATATTCTGATAAATAAATTAATAAAATTTCTTAATTATAAATAGAGTAAATGAAATTTTTTGCAGGTATTTAATGACAGCCATGCTGAATCGTTTATCTTTAACAAGTGTGTTGCTTGGGCTCATTCTACTTATGCTTCAAGAATCTGGTTGTCAAAGTTACCAGGTTATGGGCTCATATCCTTTGAGTGCTACCTATGAAGATAGACAGATTTTCAGGCGGGATCATCAGAAAAAAGAAGAAGAAAATAGCTTGGCATATCCCAAGATGGCTTCAGATTTCTTCGGATCCAACTCTGATGAATCATCTGATCGAAACCGCTATCACGAAGATAATGATTCATCAATTTCTTCCGACGAGGTAAATGGTATTAGTTTTTCCTACAATTTAAGTATTAATAAGATAAAATTTTCTAGCTAATATTTTATTTCGAACGATTTTAAATACATTTTCAAACCTTTCACTGAATTTCATTCTTCGAAAACATATATCACAGTTGTGTGTTGTTGCAATGCACATGTAATTCCACTTGATTTCTTTTCTAAAAACAAGTTTGAATTTTATTGTATTCATAACATTTTTGAAACATTTAATTTCAAATTTACAATCTTTACAAATATGACCCTCACCTACAACACCCGAAAAATAATAAAAGGAAAAAGATATTGCTATTTAGCGCTTTTTTATTCGACTAATTTTGAAAGTGAAAGCCAATTTTGCCAAGCCATTATGTACATTTTAATATTTATGCAATGAAAAGATGACCTTTTGACTGATTTAGAAGCATACAATTGTTGTCTCTGTGATGGTGAAACGGAGAAATTGAATTGAACAGAAAGTATGGTTAAATGGCATATGGTCCAAAAAGAATGTGCACGGTTTTAATATAGTCCAGCAAGTGATTGCGTGAAATTTATGTTCACGAAATACATAAATAAAATCGGATAAAATGGTGATTACTAATAAAACAAAGCGCATGCAAAAACGCACAAAAGTAAGTAAAATCTGATAAAAAAAAAATGATATAAATACAATAAAAGTTAAATACAATTTAAAATACCAATAGCACGTAGAAATACAGCGAAGTTAGGATGATGGGTTTTATAAAACAAATCTTTTATACATAAAATGCGGGAAAATTACTAAAATATGATGAATCGTGTTAGTTAGTTAGGAGTAATTAGCAAGGGCCAGTTGCGGCCATATCGCGCTTAAAACTATGTTTATATAACAATTTAAATGATGTTGAAAAACTAGATCGATGAATAAAATCCTATATCCTTGAGATTAGAGAAAATATGATGGATCGTGAACAAAATGGTTGGTATTGCATTGGGGAGAAAGAGTATAGCTTATACCTAGACGAGGGAGCTCAATACATATCCAGCAAAAGCGCAACACAGGACAAGAATCTTACAAAAACTTAATAGGGTGCAATTTGTTTTCACTTGAGAAGTCCCAGTGTTGTTGCCACACAGACATAATAACTTGTCGAATGAAATTTTTCATATCCAGAAACAATACAGTGTTAAGGGCTCAGTAGCAGACCGTGCTGAAACATTAGCAAGATCGCTTTCTAAGATACCGATATGACTTAGTATCCAATAAAACGAAATTTCAAAACCAATCTGGAGAAGAGTAAATAAAACGGAGAACGCCATGGAACATGAAATACTTTTCGCCATGGAACATGAAATTGCAAATTAAAAAAGCAACTGTTACAATAAGTTGATCAGCGTCCTCCTAAAACTAAAAACAGGAAGTAAAATTACCATACGAATCTTTAAAAACTCACTACCTTACTTCAATTTAATATTGGTGTCCTTACCGAAATCCTTCGCTAAGATTCTCTAACATAAATATTTTTTTAAATAATTAGAAAGGTAACAAGGTGAGTTTTCGAATGTTCTTAAAGAATTTTTTCTGCCAAATTTTAGTTTTAGGAGGACGCTGGTCAGCTTAGTTACAACGAATCTTTGAAGGTAAATAAAATATAAGAAAATGATAAATAAAACAGCAATGTAGTTTTTATAAAAATCAATATAGCTTTTTATTCAAAAACATTAGATTGGTTCTCGAAATGTAAGAACTTAAAGAAAAATTAAAAACCAGTTCTCGAGATGTAAAAACTTAAAAGAAATATTAAAAAAACAGTAATTTGTCATCATAAAAGCCATAATAAATTGTTGCATCTCGAAAACTAGGAGAGTATATATTCCTATTTTTCTCTATTTAAATATAAAAATCAAGTTCATAGACACTAAAAACATTCATGATTGATTATTACACTTTACTTTTTTTTATATTTTTCTTAAATTTGATTTATTCACCTTTTGCTCTTATGTAAACTCATTTGCAACCTTATATGAATGGTGGTGTGTGTGTTTTTTTCTACACGTTCTATAATCCCTTTAAGTTTGTCGTCCTGCTAATGAAACACCATAACGTAATTTTGACATTTTTTAACCTACACCATAATTTTTTACATTTTTCCTTTTAATGATATAGTAAACGCTCTGAAATCAATTGAAGATCGTACAATAAATTTATTCAATAATACACTTCAAAACTCATATCTAAATTGACATAATTTGTTTCATGGACTTGAATTCGCCAACTACAAAGAAAGGAGAAAGAAAAATTAAAAATATCCTTCCACTCAAATCAATCTAAATATTTTTTGTAAGAAAACTAACATACCTTTAAAAGTAAGTACTTTTCCAATTTTTTTACTTCATCCTTACTTATTGTTTAATACTTTCAATATTAACACCAAAAAAATATTGTTATTAAACTGCTACATAAATAATTAAAATATATCAATAAACTTTAAATTAAAACAGATTAAATCTACAAAAAATTGTAGATTTAAACTAAGCATTATCTTAAAAGAATATTTGATTTGATGCTACAACATTTTCTTCTAAATCATACTTTCGATTTTTGTAAATTATTCTACTGCCTGATATCAAGCCTTTCTATCTTGTAACTATGCTTCACCTGATTCCTTGGAACAAGTGATACTTTTTCTTCAACCTTTGATAAATAGCTTCAGCCTTTCACCATATCTCCCAGGATTCGAAAGCGCTGAATGCAGTTCTTTGAATAATACATGTCTAAACACTTCAAGGAATAAACGTCTGGCAAAATTGCATTATTAAAAAAAAATTCTTCAGCTTCAAGTCTTTATTAAAGAATACAGAGATTCTTTCGTTCAAAAATTTTTCTTGGAAGAAATTTTTCAGTTGCCATTTGAAAATGATAAAGTATACTTAGATTGAAATGCGAAGGCAGCGTTTTGGAAAGCAAAAATAGACATTTTTAGTTCTAATGAATCAGAGAATATGAAAAAAGTAAAATAATTTCGAACTGCTCTAAATATATTTCCAATAAAATATTGAAAAAAAATTTATATTCCTTTAACAACACATTTATTAATGAAATTTAGAACATTATTACGAATTGTTTTAACGACTTGTATTGAACAAAAAGCTTTCATAAAATCCATATAATTTTCTTTCTTTATTTAAAAATTTAACATTTTTTAGTCAAGATTTCTTTCACAAAGAAAAAAAATCAATAGTATTAGAATCAATTCAAAGGAAAAATATCGAAACAATTAGAAAAGCCATGTTAATATCCATCAGTTTTGTCAAATTTTAGAAATCCATACTATGATAATCAAAAATTCCAGAACAAAATGGGACCCATAAAATAAACATACAACATCCAAACTGAAAAAAATAATTGTTCATATGCTATTTTACTCGGTTTAAATTGAATAGATTTTCTTAAAAGTGAAACTTACAATTTAATTCAGTTTTTATAATTTTGGTGACATAGAGATAATTGCTGTGTCTAACGCTAGTACAAGTTTCAATCATTTCCTGTTTAAATAATCAGGAAATGATTGAAACTTGTACTATCATTAGACATAGAGCTGATGAGATTTGAGCTTTGAAGTTAGTCAAAATTTTGATTGGCTATAAAATTCTATTTCCTGATAAAATGGCAATGCATTCTGATAATAGCAGAAAACGATAAAAGCTTAAGATTGTCAACAAGCATGAAGCTTCAAATAACATTGGAACATTCTAGTAAATAAAAAGTAGAATTAATGACAATCTTTATCTGACGATAAAATGACAAATTTTGCTCGCAGCGGCCACTGCCATTAGGTGTAGAGCTTTTCTAAAGATTTGAGGTTGTTTCAAAATTAAAAATTCGTTTATTAAAAGATAGAACATCGAAAAGAAACTCTTTAAAAAAATAATGAATGTATCAAGGGTTTTTTTAATCAAGAAATCTCAGCATAGACAAAAATTAGACAGTTAATTTTTTTTTTTTTTTTTGCAATGACAAATATTCCTATACTAAACAGGAATATGGTGAAAAGGTATATGTATCGCCCTGACTATCAATAAAGTCCCATTTTTTCATCAATTTAACAGTTTTTTATTATTTGTAAATTGTTTACTTAATTTTTTTTATTTTTCATTTTTATAAAATTGGTTCTGAATGTAGCTTAATTTTTCGCTACAGTTCCAGTGGAACTTACTTGGCATATTTGACATGAAACACCTAAGCCACTCACCAAAGATCCATCACGTTCTCGATCACCCTTTTTCCATCATAGATAACAACATAAAATAAAAACTATTTAATAAGCACCCTGATGCTGACAAGTGAGTGGTGTAAATCTTTGGCGCAAGAGCCCTGATTTGGCTGTACCGTGCTTGAAACTAGGTTAAAATTCACACAGCATGGTTAAAATCCAATTGGTCTGATTCTAACAAGAGGAAATACTGGTCAATTTGCTCTTACTTCAAAGTGGTTGGTCGGAATTTATTGGCACAATATCCAGAAATGGCTATATTGCACCAGCAACTTGGTTAAAATTGGTCTTTAGGTCAAATTAATATATTTTTTCTTAAAGTTGAGAATATAGTCCTTTAATCTTGATAAACTTCAAAAAGTTGTGATGAATAGGGTCACAAAGCTAACATTGAAGATCAGAATAAAAACTGTCAAAAAGTTGGTTTCTAAAATATTTGAATAATCTACAGTTGGTAAAAATATGTTTAACGGTAATGACAACTAGTCCTTGTGAACAAAGAGGTGTACGTTCGTTTTTCATTAAATGCATATGGGTATGACAAATGAGCAGCTTATTTATTAAAACCTAAGATTTACGGTCAACGGATATTATTCAATGATTGTCAACAGAAGGGAAAATTATGTAATTTGTTATCATTTAGTTTATTCCAATGCTCTTTCCAAGCTTGCTATACTTATGATTATTCGTTTTAAAATTCAAGGGTGTTATAACATTCATGCTCCTAATATGAGTACTTTTTGCA